ATAAGAGTTCCTGGAACAGACGTGACATACATGAGAAGCCAGCAGTCTGCTCCTTCCTCTGCCTGGTACTGGCCTGCTGCACGCCACCTGTTCTCGCTCTGATTGACTAACACTCTCTCTATCTCTTATGCTGCAAAGGTCACATTATCACTGATGATTTTGTGTGTTTTAAAAAGGGAACTGACCTGACTCTCCTCAGACTTCATGTTCTGTGATGTCTGTTATCTATTTAATCAATTTTTCCCAAACCTACCCTGTCATAGAGGATTTGTCTAGTCTGATCTGATTAGGCTTTTTCAATGTCATTTAGACTGATTACAAGAATAGACAGAAAGGACAATTTTAGATAAACACACACTGTTAAAACCACACGTCCCAAATGGACGCATACCGACACAACACACACACCATCATGAACAATACACACACGCACACTCACAGACACACACTTTTTCACTGATTATTTGTTGCTGCTACTCTGTTCCTTATTGTACTCTTATTTTTATCTATCCTGATGCCTAGTCACTTTACCCTGCCTTCATGTACAGTACATATATACCTCAAATATCTCGTACCTCTGCACATTGATCTGGTACTGGTACTCCCTGTATAGGCTATAGCTTCATTCTTGTGTATTTAATTGTATTCCTCTTGTGTTACTATTTTATTTTTTTACTCTGCATCGTTGGGAAGGGCTCGTAAGCAAGCATTTCACGGTAAAGTCTACACCATTTGTATTCGGCGCATGTGACAAATAAAATTGGATTTGATTTGATACACCCACTCTGACACACTTGATTCTCCCGTAAGTAAACAAGCATTACCTGTGCAGATCCATCTCTGCAATCACCCAATGCTATCCTACGCAGTTTAAAATTACACATTGAAAATGTACTGACTGTAACAGAGGCCTAGCTAGGAGTTTCTTGTTGAAGCTGATAGGCAAGAGGGTGATGATTTCTGTGCTGACTAAAGATACAGCGTTTATCTGGCAAATCCCTGCTATGATCCAGCTATTACTCTGGTGTGCACATTGACTGAGAATGGAGGAGGAGGGGTAGAGAATATAATGACAAACAACACCACTCATTACCAGATATAGTTCAGGCTATTTGAGATAAAACATCAAAATTAATGGTGGAGAGTGGATTGAAATTGTGCAGCTAATTGAAGTCCCTGTGTTCTACTTCCGCTAGCTATCTGTTTTATCAACTTTCTGATATACGACTACCCACTGCATGTCCAAACATGTAATATTACACTCTATTTGAGCAGTGGTAGTCAAACATACTCTGCTTTATCTCAGTGTGGTTCTTCTTCTCTCTCGTCACTAAGAGAGTACAGGAAGTCTATACTGCCTGATGCCTTTCACAAGACTGGCTCCAGATTGCAGTTAGTTAGTTATTGTGTGTCTGACACTGGAAATCATGGCTGAAAGATATTGATCTTCAATTTACTTTTAGTGCAAGGAAGGGTGTATTCTAGTAACCAAGCACTGTAATCACACACACAACCCTTGTTTTTTTATCCATTCTGAACAGCATAGAGTATATACAAGTTTATACAACGGGGGGTTCTAATCCTGAATGCTGATTAGTTGAAATCGCATTCCAGCAAGTTCTATTCCACAAGTTACCACCGACTAAATTTATGACGTTAAAATGCCTATTTACTCTTCGAAACGAAGTGCAGCTAGTTTGCAGTCATTCCCGCTTCAGTTTGAAGTGATTGTGTTAGCTGTGTTGTTGGCGAGCTCCTCTGAACACCAGTGTCCTGACGAGTGAACACATTTTCCTATGCCAGGCGAAATCGCACCTCATTAGCTCATTGTTATGGATGTATCCAAATAAATGTCACTAGAAAACAGCTTAAACAAATGCAAATGCAGCTACTTTGCTGTTATTCTGGCTGCACTTTTTGACGTGACTGTAAATTAGCCATAGTTGGCTAGCTAGCAAGCAAGGGATAAGAATGTTGCCAGCCAGTATAGCAATGGAACATTTAGAACGAATGACTGGGTCGCATCCATAGATATAGAACAAAAAGACAACGACTGGGTAGCGTCTCTGGCAACCGAACCGATAGAACGAACGACCAGCCGGCTTGGGTAGCAACCCTAGATTTGTGTCGGGACTATATCTTGTGGAAGGATGAAATAGAATGAATAAATAATAAAAATAACGTTTTTAATGAAAATATGTCAATCATTATTTGAATATGTTGGTAACCTGTTGTATAAAAGTGATAAAGGAAGAGAAGTGTCATTAGTGTATTACCACTGCATGTTCATCAGTTAAGCGCTTGTGATTTAGTAGAGACAGCATTGAAGATGAGTCTGTGTTTATTTGATTAAGTCTTTGTTTGTTATTTGAAACCTAACCATTGATCAGTAAAATAATAAGTCATCTATTAGTGAATGCAATGTCATCCACAGATGCACAATGAAAGCAAGTCGTTTGAATGTTGTAGCCATGAAGGTGCTATTGGTCAAGTTATGGTAATAGCGCTGATTGATTTCTTAGTCCAGGGTCACTCCACACTTCACTGCTGTTTGCAGCCAATCTGGGTCATTATGGAGGTTGGTTGAGTCAAATGCAACCATTGAGGGTGTGAGATGGAGGAGGGCAAATGGCTTCATAGCTAGGGAATGGATCAGAAGACAAATGTATTCATGCTATGAATGCCTTTATTAACGTTCAATTAAACACTCACTCACATAAACACATCTGAGTGTTACTGTACATGTAAATTATGGGTAACAGTGACTTGATTAATATTTGATGTATTTAATTTCCATGAACATGGCACACCGTACCATATGGCTTGGTGGCTTAGCGGCTCCAACATCTTTCCTCAATGAATTTCACAGACCCACTGATCAGCAATAATTTATTTGGTTTATTTGAATACTTGATTTGACTTCTCATTTTGTTAGCACTCAGCACAGCATACTCTATTAGTATAGTGCTTGTAATACAATCGCTCAAATACCTCTGCGTTATGTGCGGTGAAGTACAAGAAGTTCCAACATAAGCTGCCACAAACTGCTAGGGAAAAGATGGAGGAGTATATGCTCTGCATAGCAGCAGTCGTTTTGGGGTCATACACTTAAAATGGGATGTTTTCCAATACAAGCATTGTTTTTTGTGTCAGTGGAAGGCCCAAGTGAATGCAATGGGTTACAGTTATGCAGCCCTGTCCATCAAAAAGGGTGGAGAACAAACTTTTGACACAATGTATCCTGACTAGGGATCCATCAATCAATTGAATCTGAGCAATGACATTTCTCCTACTGACTCAATTCCCTCTGCTCTGCCTCATTCCCCACACTCACTCAGTGGACCAACATGCGTCATTGCACGCAGTTTGGTATGAAACCCCCTTATGTTTGACATAAAGTAGGAGCACAGTGGAAGTCCATGCTAACACAACATATGAAACATTAGTGGTACACCTACAGTAAGTAACGATCATGTAAAGTTTCCTTACTACCCCCTCCAAAACAATGGTGATGTCAATGCTAGTCTAAATTTAGTTTTTTACCTTAGGGAGGTGACTCATCAGTATGTAATTCAAAAACGTATTTGTATTTTGGTACTCTAAATTCGACTGGTGGAGCTCCTGGTTTCTTCAGGGCATTTTTCTGCGGCATGCGGGCAGTTATCTGTGTCCTCTTCTGCTGAGCACGAGGTAACTGTTGGGTTCAGTGGAATGTTAATGGTTTGGAACATCTGTTCTGGATTGTGAAGATTGTCATTAAGAGACTCAGAGTGCTGGTGGCTCTGCAGTTTAAAAGACAGAAGGACTACATTACCATATGATGTCCTCTCTGTCTTTCTGCTCTGCTGTTGGAAATGTTCTCATTTAAGTTCTCTCTCTCTCTACTTGTGACTTTCCTTTTTGTGCTGTAATTTTGTGTCTGGGCAAGTGTTAGCATTAGGTTGGAATTGTTTTCCAATAACCTGGAAGAATTCATTCTCGTAGTCATTGCTGATGATTCTGCCACTATTTTCCTTCCTTGAGTATTGAGTCGGTCACAGTTGAGTGTCACTGCATTTTTCAGGCCCGTAGTCAGTCAATACTTTCTGCAGTGATGGACGTTTTTCTCCAGGATGACATGCATTTACCACCTATTTTTATGTATTACCCCTTATGCACACACAGACACTATTCAGCCACAATCCAGTGTCAGGGTTACTGTGTGTCACAGGAAACTCTCTAGGGACACTCATATTTATGGGCCATTCCCATACAGACCCATTTATCAGGCCTGTTTTCACCCACTTCAGCAGAAAATAATGGCCTGTGGAACCTAATTGCTGCATCAAGCAAACACCCTCCTTCGTAAAAAGATAAACAAGGAGGCAGCTATAACAGCTAGCAGGAAGTCCTGCAGATACAAATGTTTTCTCTGTCTGAACTATTAAACGGTCCTCTAGACTAGGGTTTGACTCTGTCTTCTCTCTGCTGTCTCCTCTCTGCTGTCTCCTCTCTGCTGTCTCCTCTCTGCTGTCTTCCCTCTGCTGTCTCCTCTCTGCTGTCTCCTCTCTGCTGTCTCCTCTCTGCTGTCTTCCCTCTGCTGTCTCCTCTCTGCTGTCTCCTCTTTGCTGTCTTCTCTCTGCTGTCTCTTCTCTGCTGTCTCCTCTCTGCTGTCTTCCCTCTGCTGTCTTCCCCCTGCTGTCTCCTCTCTGCTGTCTCCTCTCTGCTGTCTCCTCTCTGCTGTCTTCCATCTGCTGTCTCCTCTCTGCTGTCTCCTCTCTGCTGTCTTCTCTCTGCTGTCTCCTCTCTGCTGTCTCCTCTCTGCTGTCTCCTCTCTGCTGTCTTCCCTCTGCTGTCTCCTCTCTGCTGTCTCCTCTCTGCTGTCTCCTCTCTGCTGTCTCCTCTCTGCTGTCTTCTCTCTGCTGTCTCCTCTCTGCTGTCTCCTCTCTGCTGTCTCCTCTCTGCTGTCTTCCCTCTGCTGTCTCCTCTCTGCTGTCTCCTCTCTGCTGTCTCCTCTCTAGGTGTGGCAGTGTGGGGGGAGCATGGAGGTGCTGCCTTGCGCCAGAGTGGCGCACATCGAGCGGACAAAGAAGCCGTACAACAATGACATTGACTACTACGCCAAGAGGAACGCCCTGCGGGCCGCCGAGGTCTGGATGGACGAGTACAAGTCCCACGTGTACATGGCCTGGAACATCCCCATGAATGTGAGCGTAGCCATAGTCTGTCAGCGCCGGAAACATACGGCCAAGGTCAAGGCTAGTGTGATGATAGAAATAGAATGACATTCTATGACAATACAGGGCTTATTTCTATTGATGGTAGAAATAGAATGACATTCTATGACAAGACAGGACTTATTTCTATTGATGGTAGAAATAGAATGACATTCTATGATAAGACAGGGCTTATTTCCATGAGTGTAATAGAGGTGGTTTGGTGAACCGAGTTCGTGAATAACCTTGCCTAAGACCTGAAGACTTGTGTTAGCTAATACCTAAACTTTAGCTCAGCAGGCTAACACAGTATTATGGCGCACAGGAGACCCAGTTTGAACACAGATGGTCACATGGGTCTGTCTGCTCTTTTACCCACCCATCCATCCATCCATTCTCACCACTTGTTCATTCAGACCAGCATCCTGTAGAGAGACAGCTATGCCTCAATGGAAATTCAGAATTCAGATTTCATCCCACTCAACTTTCAGAGCAGCTCAGTGAGATCTGAACGACGACGTCTGGCTCTGAGTGGTGGAGCGGAGCGTAGCAGAGAGCTGAAATCAAATGAATGAGGGGGCCTTTCATTTAATCAGAGTACACTTTCATACATATCAGTTTAGACGTAATTGCTTTCAAGAGCCATTGAAATGGGCTTGGAAAATAATAATTTTCAATAATAAATAAAAAACAGCTTAATGGAGAACACTAATTGCTGTACTGCAAATTATCTATGTGTCACAGGGGGCGGGTGACAATGCTTTAAAACACAGCCTGGTAGTAATTGTATGTTTTTCAAAACATTATTGTCAGGAGAAACAAGCTTTGGATTCTGTTTCACTCAAACAAGGCCTCCTGCACAGGAGCACATTAAGGTAACGACCCTAGGGTGGCCAATGCCTCTGTAAATGTGACAGAAAGCTAGGGAGAAGAAGGGAGAGGTACAATGAATGAATGCAGGAGGAGCAGCCTACTGATTGAAGGCCTCCGACAGTAACTAAGACAGCACCCTATAGACAAACTAGCTCATCGCATAACATTCTTGGTCCAATGTAATTACAATCCCAGTGGCATGGTGCTCTATTACCCCTCTGTCCCATGGCGCTGAAGTTATTTTATGTACTGTACAAAACGTATAATGTTATAACTAATCCATCTCCCATTCCCTCCACCACACACACAGAATAATTGGTTATTGGTTACTCTGCTAAGAGGGCAGGGTCTATGATTCACTGTGGTTACCACCATCATGTAGTCCAAATAACATCTCCCAAAAGGAATGCATCTGTTAGCCTAATGTTACAGCTAATTAGAAAGACAGAGGACAATGGCATTATTCACATATATGAAAATATGGTTAATACCCATGGCTGGCTGTAGAGAAGGAAAAGGGAGCTTTTTAAAGAGAAGTTTGCTTAAGGTTTAGAAACAGTCAGTGTGTCTTTTAATGAGGCAGTGCATTTCTGATGTACAGGCCAGGACACAGTGCAGAGCTCAGAGCAGAGCAGAGCAGTTATTAGGCATTTTCCACATAAATCTGGGAAGCCACCTCAACGCACAACACCGGCCGGCACGGCAGGGCCGTGAGCACTCATAATTAAGCAGCTGATTAGAATTTGCACAGCATACTATCATGTCTAATGAAAGAACAATGAGGGTCCCACATGAAAGGCCACCATCCATCCATCTCTAAACCAAATACACTATTCCACTCTCAGGCTCTCTCTTTTCTTTTCCTTTTTTCCACCCTTCCTCCCTCCAGCAGTCTTTCGAGGCCTCCATTTTTCTATTCAATCTACAACAAGTGTAGTCACATGTTGCTTAGCTAAGTAGATAATAAGTAATAGCCTCCTGGATAAATGTTAAATGTGATTTATTTTTCCCGTTGCTACCAGAACCCTGGGGTTGACTATGGGGACGTGTCTGAGCGGGTAGCACTGAGGAAGAGGCTGCAGTGTCAGAGCTTCAGTTGGTACCTGGAGAATGTCTACCCAGAGATGCGCATCTACAACAACACCATCACATATGGGGAGGTGAGACATTCACTGTTCACTATTCCCTATCAATGATAGCGATACAAAAACAAAAGCATGTTTTGAGTAGAATACCTATACTGTATGTAGTGGAATACCTGATTACATTTTCACTTTCAATGACACAATAAAAAATAAAAAAGATTTGAGTGGAATACCTGCAGCCTACTATGTATTTGAAGACACGTTCAACAAATAATACACATTTCAAATTAGTTAATTTGCAAACCCACAAATTCTTGATAATTTGTTGAATTATTTGGCACGCACTTGTCTCTTGCAGTGATTGCAGGGTGTGCTTTGTTTTTTTTTGCTCTGTATTTGCATATAAGAGCTTCCATATAAGAAGAAGCAGTGTTTTCTTTAATGTCACGTACAGTACTACGCAAGCTATGTTTACATACTGTATACTCAATCAATCTACCATTGACATTGTATTTCACCGCTTCTGCATTTCAAAGATTACATGTCATCGAAAGGTAAAGGTATAATGTTTCCACAGAAACGCTGCGCTGCTACAAAATTAGATGCAAGAGTATTAATTACACACTTATTTGCTTTTGATGCCGACTTGATTGTTTGGGCTCAGCTGCACAACCCTGCACAGCGGAAAAGATTATGACAGGATGAGAAATTGAGCGCAAGAAGTCAGACAGACAATTCGGAATCATTGTAAAATAAAATACAAGCCTTTAACTTATTGATTTCGACATCAGAGTCGGGGGAGAAAATCAATAAGCATTTCAAGTATATCGTCGGCATATATCAGAATTAAAATAGGCCGCAACTTCATCAAGCAGCACGATGTTGGTGGCCCTGGCCCCATGAATGCTCCTAGCCCAGCTTCTTGTAAATGGATTCCTCAAAGCAGTGCCCATTTAGGTGCCACTATTTCAATTCTGCGACAAGTCTTGGAACAGTCACCATGTGTTGCCATAGCGCAGCAGCTGAACCACAGCTGCACCCCCTGCACTGACCAGACCAGCGAAGCCCTCCAGCAGGTGGTGAAGACTGCCCAGTACATCACTGGGACCGTGCTCCCACCCATCCAGGACATCTACTCCAAATGGTGCCTGAGGAAGGCCCACAGCATCATCAAGGACCCCACACACCCCAAGCCACAAGCTGTTCACTCCCTTACCGTCTGGCAGACGTTATCGGACCATGTGGTCGGATACCAACAGGCTCAGAGACAGTTTCTATCTACAAGCCATCAGACTGCTGAACACTTGAACTGGACGGACCACCTGCTCTGTTTCTCCGCACCTTAGCACACATACGCTCACTCACGCACACGCACACACCCACACAGACAAACACACATCCACACACACACAAACACATATACATTCATGCTACACACACATCATAACTGCTGCTACCAGTTTCTTACTATGATTTCTAAATTCTTCACAATTTTAACACTTGCCCCACAATCCCCCCTTCCCCAAAACACGTTTAAATATTGGACAATAAATTCTGCCTTCCTGTATTACACTTATCCTAAAATGTTTATTGTATTCTACTGAGCCATTTACTTTATATTCGTATTCTTGTCTTTTATTATTTCGTATTGTTGCTGCATTGTCGAGAAGGAACCTGCAAGTAAGCATTTTGTTGGACGGTGTATACCATGTGTATCCAATACATACGACTAATAAACCTTAAAACTTTAACCAGACAACACAACATGATAGATCTCTTCATGTAACAGTATTACTTCTCCTCACCCCAACCTGGGCTCGAACCAGGGACCCTCTGAATACATCAACAACTGCCGCCCACAAAGCATCGTTACCTAACGCTCCACAAAAGCTGCAGCGCTTGCAGAGCAAGGGAAACAACTACTTCAAGGTCTCAGAGTGATTGATGTCACTGATTGAAACGCTACTAGCACGCACCGCTAACTAGCTAGTCATTTCACACCGGTTACATTCACAAGGTGGAAATAAAGTGATACACATTAAAATCACATAGTCTTAAAAACACACTTAACCCACACTACCATCAGGACTAGGAATCTAGGAGATTGGAGAGGTTTCTTTTGCTTACTTTATCTTAGATTAAGCCTAACAGTCCCGAGACCCCAGCAAAAATTGGCTTTTCATTAATCTGACTTTCATTTAGCTGCATGTTCAGCCCTTATATTTAGCCTCACTATGAAGTGAGGCTAAATATAATTAGAACACAAAACAATTTGACATAAACAGTTGCATTCGTGAATTTTATTGAGAAATGTAAAAATAATAATAAGGTCCGGCAAAGCAAAAACCTGATACAAATTAATTTGTTTGCTCACTGGGAAATTAATATCCAACTATTCAGTGACAACTGTGTGGAGTTTGGAGTTTGTGACAGCAACTATGTGAGCTTATTACAGTATTATATACACAATGTCCTGGGATTTCCTATGATCTTCTATGTAGATGAACCTCTTACCTTCTAATGCTTGTCAGCGTCATAGAGCACAACATGTTACATGTGCGTATCCATGAGATAGCTTTTTATAGTTTATAGCTCAAACTATTCAGACTCTACATATGTTTTTGTAAAAAGACCTGACTCCGGGTCCCTTCGGGATCTGCCCTTGTCTCACAAACACAGACTAATGGTTGGTATCTACGGATGCAGAATAAATAGACTAATCCAATGGTACAACACAGAAGTCTTTAGCTCAAACACACTGTTTTAAAGGGGTCCAAAACATCCTGGCGTTAAAATGGAATCTCTCATCACTGTAGAGTATGTTGTTTGGTGTGTTGCAAGTCAGGAACAGTAAAGTGTCTATTTTTTGGTGTATTGTAGGTCAGGAACAGTAAAGTATATGTGTTGTTTGGTATGTTGCAGTTCAGGAACATTAAAGTGTCTGTGTTCTTTGGTCTGTTGCAGGTCAAGAACAGTAAATTATCTGTTGTTTGATGTGTTGCAGGTCAGGAACAGTAAAGTGTCTGTGTTATTTGGTGTATTGCAGGTCAGGAACAGTAAAGTATCTGTGTTGTTTGGTGTGTTGTAAGGAACAGTAAAGTGTCTGTGTTATTTGGTTTATTGCAGGTCAGGAAGAGTAAAGTATATGTGTTGTTTGGTGTGTTGTAAGGAACAGTAAAGTGTCTGTTTGGTGTGTTGCAGGTCAGGAACAATAAAGTTGATGTATTGTTTGGTGTGTTGCAGGTCAGGAACAGTAAAGTGTCAGTGTTGTTTGGTGTGTTGCAGGTCAGGAACAGTAAAATGTATGTGTTGTTTGGTGTGTTGCAGGTCAGGAACAGTAAGGCCAGTGGCTACTGTCTGGACCAGGGATCAGAGGACGATGACAAAGCCATCCTCTACCCCTGCCACGGGATGTCCTCACAGGTTAGCAGATTTCACTCTCTTTTGTATATTTACAAGTAATGTAAAGACTCTGTTTACAATTTTGGTTGGTTGAACATGAAGATACCTTCTTTCTTTACTAAATAATTTAAGTATTTAAGCATTATTCTTACAGTTGTGACGAGTACTGAGGATATGAAGAGGTAGGACGCAGACGCAGGAATCAACAATGTAAAGGTTTACTTAACACTGAGCAAGAGAACAACAAAGAGCGAGTACACGACATGACACTAACAATCACACACACACAACACAACACTGAACAGTCCAGGGCTATATAGGGGTGGTAATGAGATGATGAGGTGCAGGTGCGCTGGAGGTGATTAGGGTGCGTTGGGTTTCCATTCCGGTGTTGCCGAGGTGGTGAGCTCAGACAGGTGGCTCAGTAGACCGGCGAATCAGAACACCGGAGGGGAGCAACGGGAGGAGACGTGACAGTACATCCCCCGGACGCGCGGCTCCCGCCACAGGACGTCACCAGCCAGAAGGACGACCCCGAGGATGAAGTGCGGGCCGGTCAGGGCGGCGACGGTGGAAGTCCCGAATTAGGTTGGGGTCCAGAACATCCCCAGCCGGAACCCAGCTCCTCTCCTCAGGACTATGCCCCTCCCAGTCCACCAGGTAATGGAGCCATCCCCCACGGAACCTGGAGTCCAGCAGGTCCCTCACCGCATACGCCGGACTCCCATCAATGTCCAGGGGCGGGGGGGGGGGGGGGGGGGGGGGGGGGGGGGGGGGGGGCGTACCCCAGGGATGGCATCCGCCAGAGGACCAGGAACCACTGGCCTGAGGAGAGACAAATGAAAAGAGGGTGAGACATGGTAGGGAAGGAGCAGCCGGTACGATACCTCATTTATCCGCCTGAGGACCTTAAACGGCCCCACAAACCGGGGGCTCAGTTTCTTGAAGGGCAGGCGGAGAGAGAGGTTTTTTGTGGACAGCCAGACACGATCACCAGGCTGGAATATATGGGCCTCACTGCTGTGGCGGTCGGCTTGGTCTTTCTGCCGACGAATGGCCCTCTGGAGATGGACATGGGCGGTGTCCGGCCCTGCGGAACCACTCGTCGACAGCGGGCACATCGGTCTGGCTGGGTGTCCAAGGGGCCAAGGCCGGCTGGTACCCCAGGACGCACTGGAAGGGAGTGAGCCCCGTGGAGGAGTGAACGATGGGGTTCTGGGTCATATTCTGCCCAGGGAAGAAACCTCGCCCACTCACCCTGCCGGTCCTGACAGTGGCAACGAAGAAACCTCCCCAGCTCCTGGTTCATGCGCTCCACCTGCCCATTCAACTGAGGCCTATACCCGGAAGTGAGGCTGGCCGTGGCCCCGATCTTCTCCAGGAAAGCCTTCCACACTCGGGAGGTGAATTGTGGGCCACGGTCCGAGACGATGTCCTCCGGAAGTCCATAATGCTGAAAGAACTGTTGGAACAGGACCTCAGCGACCTGGAGAGCAGAAGGAAGACCAGTTAGTGGCAAAAAATGGCACGATTTGGAGAACCGATCTACGACCACCAGGACTGTGGTGAAGCCGCCAGAACATGGGAGGTCGGTGACAAAGTCTATGGACAGGTGTGACCAAGGTCGCTGAGGCACTGGGAGAGGAACTAGTTTGCCTTCCGAGGTGTCTTCATTTGGGCACATGCGGAACAGGAGTTGATATAACGGGAAATAGCTGAAAAGCGAGTAAGAAATTGGGCCCACCTGGCTTGACGAGAGTTCATCCGTTTCACTGCCCGTATGTGCTCCAAATACCGGTGGTCAGTGAGATTCCGGAATGGATGGACTGCGCCCTCCAGCCAGTGTCTCCATTCCTCCAGAACGAGGACCACCGCCAACAGCTCCCTGTCTCCAACTCCATAGTTCCTCTCTGCGTGGGTAAGCTTTTTTGTGAAAAAGGCACAGGGATATCTCTGGCTTACCTTGCCGCTGGGAGAGGACCCCACCCACGCCCTCCTCAGATGTGTCCACCTCCAGGATGAAAGTACGAGCTGGATCTGTGTGTTTTATGAGGGGTGCTGTGGAGAACCTCTCCTTAAGCCTCTTGAAGTCAGCGTCAGCCTCAGGGTTCCAGGTCAGCTTCTGAGGCCCACCCTTAAGGAGAGAGGTGAGCGGGGCGGCTATGGAGCTGAAGGACCTGATGAAACGCCGGTAGAAATTTGCGAAGCCCAGGAAGCTCTGTAGGCCCTTGATGGTGGTGGGGACTGGCCAAGACCGGACGGCGTCTGTCTTCGCTCTTTCCATAAACACCCCCTGAGGGCTGATCCTGTATCCCAGGAAGGAGATGGCCTGTTGGTGGAATTCGCATTTATCCCCCTTCACCAACAGGTTGTGTTCCCGGAGGCGGAGAAGGGCCGCTCGGACGTCCCTGACGTGCTCCTCGAACGTAGCCGAGTAGATCAGGATATCGTCGATGTACACCACCACCTGTCTACTCAGCATGTCTCGGAACACGTCATTGACGAAGGACTGGAACACGGAAGGTGCGATGGCGAGGTCGTAGGGCATGACGCAGTATTCATAGTGGCCTGAGGTAGTGCTGAATGCCGTCTTCCACTCTTCCCGGATTCGGATCAGGTTGTAGGCACTCCTCAGGTCCAACTTGGTTAACGTACCGGGCCCCTCGCAGCTGCTTGATGGCCAACGGAACCAGAGGGAGGGGGTACCGGTACTTGGTGGTGACTGCATTCAGCCCCCGGTAGTCAATGCACGGCCTCAGTCCTCCATCTTTTTTGGCCACGAAGAAGAAGCTGGCGGAGGCAGGAGAGATAGAGCGTCTGATGAACCCCTGTTTCAGGGTCTCTGCCACATACTTCTCCATGGCCTCAGTCTCCGCTATGGAAATGGAGTAAATGCGACTCGTGGGAGGGTGTTGTCCCTCCAGCAGGTCAATGGCACAGTCCCAGGGCCTGTGAGGAGGGAGACACTTAGCCTTGGAGGCAGAGAAGACATCGGAGAGATCTGCGTACTCACGTGGAATGTTGGGCAGAGGGCCGACTCCAGATTCTCCACTGACGTGGAACAACAAACCACCGGCAGGCAGGTCCTCCGGCATGAGGGGGACCAGGCTGTGATCCTCTTGGTGATCCAGTTGATGGTGGGGTTGTGTAGTCTGAGCCAGGGCAATCCCAAGACGATTCGGTGAAGGGGTGACGTGACGATTGTGGAAGGACAGCTCCTCATGGTGCTCCGGTAGTGTGGGAATGGTGATGGTGATGGGGAGAGTGACGTGCATAATGGTGCCTGATCCGAGTGGTTTATTGTCCAGCGAGGTGACGTGTAATGGAGAAGGCAGTGGCACGGTGGGCAACCCCCATTCAGAGACCAGCTCCCTATTGATAAGGTTCCCCGCTGATCCGGAATCTATCATTGCCGTGGAATGCGAAGAGAAGGAAGAACCATTCACCATTAGGGGAACTAAAAACAATGGTTTGGTGACAGGTGATGACGGAACACTCACAGAGCGGCGACGGGAGTCATACCACCTAGATAGGGAGCCGCCAGGAGATCTGTGGTCCGTGGTGTTGTAGGGGGTGCTGCCCACCTCCATGGGTGAGGACTCGGAGGCAGGGTGGCTTCCATAGCTCAGATGGGGTGAGCGTCGAGGCTCCGGGTGGTGTTTGGAACGCCTTCGGTCTCTCAACATGTCGTCGAGATGACGCTATCAAGGTCCATCTCGTCGTCCCGACATGCGAGTTCCGTCGTAATGTCCTCCCGTAAGCCTCTCCTAAAGGCCATGCTCAGAGCACACTCATTCCAGCCAGAAGACGCTGCCACAGTGCAAAAGCTCAGGGCGTACTCGAACGCGGCCTCCTCTCCCTGGTGTAGCCGGGGGAGACGCTCACCCCCGTCCTTTCCCTCCATGAGATGATCGAACACCGCCCTGAACCGATCGAGGAAGGTGGAGTAGGGAAGTGCCGCGGCCTCACCTCCTTCCCAGACTGCCGTGGCCCAATCCAGCGCCTTTTCCTTCAGTAGCGAAATCACCAGCCCTATCCTGGCTTAGTCCGATGGAGATGCCCCACGCTGACGCTCCAGATACCATGAAACCTGTAGCAGGAAGCCTCTACATTTCGTCATTTTCCCGTCATAGCACTCCAGCAGGGCGAGGGTCCCTCAGACTTTGGTGATAGCACAGGGGGAGGTGGACTAGGGGCACTCAACGCTCACTGAGGTAGAACCGGAGCGATAGTCAGTTTATGCAGCGTTTGGAGCACTTTCTGCATGGAGGTGTTCAGCTGGGCAATGTGCTGCTGGTGCTGGTCGAGGCACTGGGAAACTCTAGGAGGATTACCTGCTGCATCCATCTTCGTGAGGTATGTGATTCTGTGACGAGTACTGAGGATACGAAGAGATAGGACGCAGACGCAGGAATGAACAATGTAAAGGTTTACTTAACACTGACAAGAGAACAACAAAGAGCACGTACACGACATGACACTAACAATCACTCACAACACAAGAGTGAACAGTCCAGGGCTATATAGGGGTGGTGATGCGATGATGAGGTGCAGGTGCGCTGGAGGTGATTAGGGTGCGTTGGGTTTCCATTCCGGTGTTGCCGAGGTGGTGCGCTCAGACCGGTGGCTCAGTAGACCGGCGAATCAGAGCGCCGGAGGGGAGCAACGGGAGGAGACGTGACAACAGTATGCAGTGTAATGCCTTGGTATGACACTAATCTCAATATTGACAGCCAAGCAAAATCTACAAATCACTTTTCATTTTGGGGAAAAAAGCTCTGAATTGTGAATGTATTTAGCTAAATCTGTTTTTAAGAAATCTCGACACTGCAAATTCCTCCTGGAGTGGAAGTATAATGAACAAAAATATAAACGCAACATGTAACATTTTGGTCCCATGTTTCATGAGCTGAAATAAAATATCCTAGAAATTTTCCATACGCACAAAAAGCTTATTTCTCTCAAATTTTGTGGACAAATTTGTTTACATCCCTGTTAGTGAGCATTTTTCCTTTGCCAAGATAATCCATCCACCTGACAGGTGTTGCATATCAAGAAGC